TATTTGTCATTCGCCTAACACACACACATTATGGGAAGGTGAATTTAGTACTTTACAGACATGAGCGTGCAATTGTGAATAAGTTTTCCCAACTGGGAGCAAATAGTGGGTGTAGGCCTCACCCTGTGGCTGGCATCATGAATAGCCTTCAGATGAACCAGGTTATGCTCCTCCTCATATTCCTGAACCCAGATATCCAACAGCACAGGCACAGACTAGAGGCAAATCTACAAACAACGCTTCACATCAGTGCAGACCAGTCAACTCATGCTTTGCTTCCCTCAAGTAACCCATGGGCCCTGAAAGTGTAGAAACATTTTATTCTTGTAAAAAATTGCAGAACTATAGATATGATCATCCTCATGATTAAATCTTGCACAATGTAGTTGTATATCAACACATCACATTTCACCTAGTGAAAAATCCAGTTATTATTTGTCAGAAGCAAATTTTATAGTAATTAAAATAGTGTCAACCAATAATCAATGCTGGTTTGTTAATGGTGGTTTTATAGCTTGATAATGTGGAAGTACTTTTCTTTTATGATTTATCTCGGAAAACAAAAAATTGGTCAATAGACACTATTTATAATGAGTTAACTATTTTTCTCTTTATAAGGATTTGCCATCTCCCAATGCAAGCTGTTTACTTCTTCCAATATTTCTCTGGGTCATAAAATGTTGAATGTCAGCTTCTGACAGAAACATAGAAATAAATAGCTCTTCTGTTTGAGATACAAATCACAACAGTTAAGAGAACCGCACCATCTTTTTTTTTTAACTTTTATTTAGTAAATATAATTTTCCAAAGTGCAGTTTATGGATTACAATGGCTCCCCCCCCCCATAACTTCCTTCCCACTCGCAACCCTCCCCTCTCCTGCTCCCTCTCCCATTCCATTCACATCAAGATTCATTTTCAATTATCTTTATATACAGAAGATCAATTCAGTATATATTAAGTAAAGATTTCATCAGTTTGCACCCACACAGAAACACCAAGTGCAAAATACTGTTTCAGTACTAGTTATAGCATTACTTCACATTGGACAACACACTAAGGACAGATCCCACATGAGGAGTAAGTACACAGTGACTCCTGTTGTTGACTTAACAATTTGACACTCTTGTTTATGGCATCAGTAATCTCCCTAGGCTCTAGTCATGAGTTGCCAAGGCTATGGAAGCCTTTTGAGTTCGCTGACTTTGATCTTATTCCGACAGGGTCATAGTCAAAGTGGAAGTTCTCTCCTCCCTTCAGAGAAAGGTACCTCCTTCTTTGATGGCCCCGTTCTTTCCACTGGGATTTCACTCACAGAGATCTTTCATTTAGGTCCTCTTTTTTTTTTTTTTTTGCCAGAGTGTCTTGGCTTTCTTTTTTTTTTTTTTTTAACTTTTATTTAATGAATATAAATTTCCAAAGTACAGCTTATGGATTACAATGGCTCCCCCACCCATAACTTCCCTCCCACCCGCAACCCTCCCCTTTCCCGCTCCCTCTCCCCTTCCATTTACATCAAGATTCATTTTCAATTCTCTTTATATACAGAAGGTCAGTTTAGCATATATTAAGTAAAGATTTCAACAGTTTGCACCCACATAGAAACACAAAGTGAAAAATACTGTTTGAGTACTAGTTATAGCATTAAATCACAATGTACAGCACATTAAAGACAGAGCTCCTACATGAGGAGTAAGTGCACAGTGATTCCTGTTGCTGACTTAACAAATTGACACTCTTGTTTATGGCATCAGTAATCACCCTAGGCTCTTGTCATGAGTTGCCACACACACACACAGAGTGTCTTGGCTTTCCATGCCTGAAATACTCTCATGGGCTCTTCAGCCAGATCGGAATGCCTTAAGGGCTGATTCTGAGGCCAGAGTGCTGTTTAGGACATATGCCATTCTATGAGTCTGCTGTGTATCCCGCTTCTCATGTTGGATCGTTCTCTCTCTTTTTGATTCTATCAGCTAGTATTAGCAGACACTAGTCTTGTTTGTGTGATCCCTTTGACTCTTAGACCTATCAGTGTGATCAATTGTGAACTGAAATTGATCACTTGGACTAGTGAGATGGCATTGGTACATGCCACCTTGATGGGATTGAATTGGAATCCCCTGGCACATTTCTAACACCACCATTTGGGGCAAGTCCGATTTGAGCATGTCCCAAATTGTACATCTCCTCCCACTCTTATTCCCACTCTTATATTTAACAGAGATCACTTTTCAGTTAAATTTAAACACCTAAGAATAATTGTGTGTTAATTACAGAACAGTTAAGAGAACCATGCCATCTTACTATGTGTTTGGCTCTGGTTTTGCTTTTCCTAATAGGTGAAGATCTGGCATCTCTTTTATTGATGCTAACAACTTAAATGGTGAAATGCACTTTCTACTTGCTCCCCTAAAGCCACATCTCTTCTCCTGAGGTGACTGTATTTTAGAAAAAAAATAACATTACTGTTTTAATATTAATCAGGGCAAGAAAAATAAAACCAGAAAAGACAACTCAGGAGATGTTGCAAAATTTTCCATAATCAGAGTGCATTAAGGAGGTCAGCCGTGGAAAACTGACTAGTGTGATCCTGATTTCCTTTCCATGAAATTATTCTTTGTATCATTGACCCCTTGGAGGCACTCCTGATAACCATTCGATTCCAAATAATCTCTGGGGCCACCAAATACTATAAACCTCCAATCTAGGAATGGAGTGATCCTTGGAACCTCCAAGCTGCTGTCTGTCAACAAGGTCTTTACAGTTTGGTATAGAAATATTTAGACATGAGACAAGAACTACACAAGAACTGTGCAAGATATCAAACAGACCTTAGCTGTTCTCCTACATAACTGTGGAAGTCAATATGTTTCCCTAGAAATGGTGGAAAATTTCATGCATAAAATGGCTTTTGAAATAGGTAGGAAGCTGGAGGTCTAACATCACATTTCTTCCTAGTTTTAAACCATTTCTGTAAAAAGCAAAAGTAACACATAAAGATTTCTCCTGCAGTACACACTGAAAGTCCTGTGTCTACCAGGACCTATTGTCAGAGTAAGGGAAAAGTAAGGAAGAGAAGCTTAGCAAAGGTTCCAAAGTGAAAGCTGCATCTTGGCAATCAGAAAAGGCAAAGAGGAAGAAGTGTTTATGTCAGGTCAACTTGTGTAAGTCAGTGCCATTGTCTGTACAATAATTTGATAGTTGAAGTTATTACACAGAGTGTTTGTGGGAACTCATGAATAGTCCTTTCTAATGCATTCATATCAATTACACTGTCAGTTTCTGTTGCCTGTGTTTTTGAGGATTTTTAATCAGCAAAATAATTTCCTAACTCAATTTTCAATGATTTTCAGATGCTTTCCTCAAGGCTGTTTCATAATGTCAGCACTTATGTTTGTATCTTTGATCTCATTGGGATTATGTTTTCTAAAGGGTGTAAGGTAAAGGTCTGAAATAAGATTTTCCCATTACCAATTGTATCCATTTCATTGCAGAAGTCAGGATTTTGTTCTTTTTTATAATATATGGATAGCATTCCATTGTATATGTATACTGTGAGTTTTTATCCAGTTATCAGTTGTTGGACATATGTGTTCTTTCTGTATCTTAGCTATTGTGGTTTGAGATGCTATAAACATGGGGGTAAAGATAAATCGTTTATTTACTGATTTACTGATTTCAGTTCCTTTAGGTAAATTATCAGGAGTGAAATTGCTGAGTCATATGGTAGATCTATTTTTAGATTCCTGAATAATCTCCATACTGTCTTCCATAATGTTTGTACTACTATATATTCTCATCAACAGTGTATATGGTATTTTTTCTCCACATCCTCGCCAGCATTTGTTATTTTTTTTTATTTTTGGATGATAACCATTCTAACTTGGGTGAGATGAAACTTCATTGTGTTTTTTATTTATATTTCCCTGATGGCTATTGATATTATATTTTATTTGCAGAAAATAATATAAAAAAGACTTTTGTCAACATTTGCAAGTAGAGACATGTTTACTTTTTACATCCTCAATCCCACTCACTCCTGACTCCTACGCACTGTTCCTGGCTACATCCCCATGAATTCCACCGCCTGCAACTTAACATCCCCCCAAAGCTACCAAATATCCTGGTATCTGCAGCTATGATCCACAAGCTCCTGGAAGGGATCTCTGGACTCTTGGTCATCCTCGCAGTATTTCCTTGCTTTATGGATTTGTACAGTGAGTTTCCTTGTTCCTGGAAGCATTGGAGAAGCAATGACTGAAAAGTCTTTGCTGACTGCCCTACAGGCAGACAACACTTCCCACCTGAATCCCAGGAATGACTGTGGACTATCTCTTATCATCTCTCACCACAGGTCTACAGACTTCTAGGAAAAATCAGTTTGAGGGACTAAGAAATTAGAATAAAACTAAGCAGGCAAGTAATAAAATCAGTGGTAGGTAAAAATCTTTAATACGGCCGGCGCCGCGGCTCACTAGGCTAATCCTCCGCCTAGCGGCATTGGCACACCGGGTTCTAGTCCCGGTTGGGGCGCCGGATTCTGTCCCGGTTGCCCCTCTTCCAGGCCAGCTCTCTGCTGTGGCCCGGGAGTGCAGTGGAGGATGGCCCAAGTCCTTGGGCCCTGCACCCCATGGGAGACCAGGAGAAGCACCTGGCTCCTGCCAACGGATCAGCGCGGTGTGTGCAGCGGCCACTGGAGGGTGAACCAACGGCAAAGGAAGACCTTTCTCTCTGTCTCTCTCTCTCACTGTCCACTCTGCCTGTCAAAAAAAAAAAATAATAAAAAATAAAAAAATCTTTAATACAACAAGATTGCTTTATTTTCAATAATGACAAAAGTTGTAGCCATTACTTCATACCCCATGGATACAGCTCTAGCTGAGGTCCAGTTTTAAAACAGCATAGATTAACCAGAAGAGAGTTACCCAGTCACCAGCATCTGAAATGTCGCTTGCCCTATAACACTCCTGGGAGAACTTGTAGTAGAATCATGAAAAAGGTCTCCACGTTAATATTCATCAGAAAATGGGTAATTTGGGTGTTCAGCCACACTAAAATGAGAAAAATGCACAATCTAAACTCGATGACCACATTTATAGAACACTAAATAAGTGGTTTCTGTGATGCTACCACCAGAGAAAAATAAGATGTTTGTTTTGGTTATGGATTTATTATCCAACTTATATACATGGGTGTGACTTTATGATAAATATATTTAATCACATTCAAAGTTTTTATATTGCATTTCTCTACCTGGAACTTAGCATACAGACCATACATAATAAGGAATTCAAACATATTCTTCTCATATAGCTACATCTTTCAATCACACAAAGCAATATCCAGTGCTATCTTACATCAGATTTTTAAGGATAATTTTTAAGGATAATAGAAGCATATTTGAACATACTGTTCAATGCTAAAAAAAGTTCACAGGTTATAGGTTACTGTTAGCAATTTGACATCATTTGTATTAATTCTTCAATTATTTACTGATAGCTCATCATGCATAGCTTAATATATGATGAAATGAATTTTATCAATATGAGATCAATGTCCAAATGCTTCCTGTATTATTTGCATATTTCTATATTTTCCTAACTACTTAAGATATAAAGCAGCAACCAATCAATAATTACTAAAAATTTTAATTGGAGTAGGAATTATACATTGCTTGCCACTGTCTTTGCCACTCTCCTAATCTTTGCACTATGTCTCTGCTGTAGTTCTCACTTTTCTTTATAGTAATCAAATATTAAAATATAAAACATCTACCAATTTTGATTTTGTATATTTCTCAATACCAAGGTAAAATTCCCTAGGGAGAATTAATATATAATCCTTGTTATCATCATTTATAGAATTGTTGCTTATTGGACAAAAGGAGAGTAAAGCTCTTTCACTGGATGTACATTCTCTTTCATTCTGATGTTTTTAATCCATTCTTATTCTTTGTTTTGAAGCCTTTCTTTAAGAATTCATCCTCTGCATATAGATCACCATATTTCAGAAAAGCATAACTATGTTTCTACTGACTTTTAAGACCAGCCTTTCTCAGGGTAAATGAAGGATTTAAGTCCTTCAAAAAAAAAAAAAGTGAAAAAGAAAGGGGAATTTCAAATTAGAAATACATTAACTTATAAGTCTGTAAGGGACATGTCCATATAGAGGGATATGTATTTCTGCATAAAGACATCCTAAAGGCTAATTTTCATACTTCCTTTAAGAGCTTTGCATATATATTACTTTCTATACTTATTATTAGCTAGATATTTATGCATAAAAGACCAACGTGTTGTAAAGATTAATCCAAAAATAAAAAAGATATTTTATGAAACAAATTACTATCACAAAGAAGGCTAATTTCCATCTCTTGAAGCTCTGTTTGAAATGGATATCTTCAACACTTAAGGATCATCAGGTATTGCTCTAGGCATTACACAATCTAATGGATTTCTTTTCTTATGATTTCATTATTAGTGTGATGTACTGAAATTCATCACAAATAAATTTTACTTTAATGTGTAAACACTCATTCTTCTATTTTCTTCCCTGGAAAGCTTTTTTTATGAGTAAACTTTCAAGACTTCTGAAATTAGTACTGCTTTGTTTCAGAAATACAGGTGAAACTTATGTATTTAACTTGTAAGTTCTTACAGGTACATGTTTAGGGAAGAGAATGATGTCAAACAAGCTCACTAACATAAATATTAAGTAAGTCCCTTGTATTTTAGTATAAGCTAAATTCTTCCAAAGTCTCCATGATTCAAGACTATTTTGTCCAGAAAATCTACTAAGCATAAATCAATCAATCATGTATGAATATGGGGACTCTTGTTGTGCATAACGGTTATTGAGATTATTGATTAACTTACATGTCTGTAAAATCGTGGAAGGCAAATTATCTTAATGACCTTAGATATAAACAGACATGCTGGTGAATGAAGACAACTGCTGCCCAGGACCACAAGGTTGTTGGAAATGCCTTCAATCTGATAAGAATTGAAGTTTGAGAGAAGTATGTGTCATTTTACAAACACTGAATTAGGCTACATTGGTGATTCCCATAGCGCACGTTCATAGATAGTAGGGCAACAGAAGCTAATGCCTTTCCTACACTCCTCTTCAGAAAAAAAAAATGGAGACAACACGTTTCCAAAGCCACTTACATATCAGCTGGATAATAGTGAAGATTTTTGTTCGGGCCATCCAGAGCTTTCATGTCCTCTGAAGACAACTGAAATTCAAACACCTGTTAGAGAAGGACAATATTTTGTTATTTTTATACTGAATATTTGTCAATCTGGAAAATCTTGAAAAATTTCCAAACATTTTGAGACACAAAGCAAATCATTCTTCAATAAGTGCTGGGTGTTGGGTGGAATGTATACTAGTATACCATGATGAAATATAGTACGGCAATTCCTCAGAAATCTGAAAATATTTCCACTTCCCACCCAGCTGTCCCATTCCTGGTAAAAATAAATAAATAAAAGTGCAATACGAATTATAATGTATTGAAATCTTACAACATTACAGATAAAAAGATGTCTCAACATTAATTAGCTGTAGCAGGAAGCTGACATTAAAGAAGAGAGGACCATGAAATTATAAGATCTAGAAGATTCTAAAGGTAAACATTGAAATATATGAGATTATTTAGTAAAGTTCCTCGATACAGTTGCATGTTTTTATATCATCAATGATGAAAAGAAGAACAGAAAAAGAAAAAGGTATTTTTAAAAGTTCTCTTGAAATTAATAGAGAGTTCCAATTCAATATCAAGCAATCACTCTTACAGATTTTATATGACAGTTAATTAAATGAAGTGTAATAATGATATTTTAAATACGAAGTGTTAGAAAATGTTTTACCATATTGGAAAACAAAACTTTATTTTCCAATGTGAGGAGGATGGATAGTGTGAAAGTCTCAGAGCAGGAGGCCGGCATCGGGTTCTAGGCCTGGTTGCTCCTCTTCCAGGCCAGCTCTCTGCTGTAGCCCGGGAAGGCAGTGGAGGATGGTCCAAGTGCTTGGGCCCTGCACCCCATGGGAGACCAGGAGGAAGCACCTGGCTCCTGGCTTCGGATCAGCGTAGCTCCGGCCTTAGTGGCCATTTTGGGGGTGAACCAACGGAAGGAAGACCTTTCTCTCTGTCTCTCTCTCTCTCTCACTGTCTATAACTCTACCTGTAAAATAAAAAAAAAAAGTGTCAGAGCGACACATTGACGAGTGAGGGAGACACACAGTGAGAGACAAAAAGACAAAGATCTCTCATCTACCGATTTACTCTCAAATGTCTGCAAGAATCAGTGGATGTTATAAATTAGTTAAATACAATCATCTGTTCAGAAGGTATTTTTTATTTTACAACTACAATAATAATAGTTAAATAATAGTTTCTTCATTAAAAACACAGACACAGTCAATATATTTATATGGTGCTTCACTAGATAGGAAAACCAATGTGAAAACAATATGAATATTATATTTCGCCAGGGGCGAAATCTTGCAGGCGCGGAAGACACAGACAGAGGCGCAAAGAAAAAGTGACTCGGGCCGTGCGCCCCGGCGGCGCTCGGGAGGGGACCACGGCTGCGGAGGGGCCCCCGGCCAATTCTCCCCCACTTCCAGGGGAGGGCAGACCCCGGCCCGCCCCCGAGGGCGAGAGGCGATGAGATAATCCTGCTGAGCTGCGAAAGGAGAGCGTCTGGCGCTGGGTTGGGGGGGAGGGGGTCTCCAGGCGGGCCTCGCGGGCGGAGGTGTGAGGGTCCGCGCAGATTCTGGGACCGGAGGGGGCGGGGGCTGCAGGGCCGCGCAGGAGTGGGCTGCAAGGGCCTGCGCGCCCAGCTCATCGCACTCTCTGTCCGGCTCGGAGCTGCCCGGCGCCCCAGCGGCCCGCCCGGCCCGGCCGCTCCGGCCCGCGGCGCAGATGGCTGTGCGCGGCGCCAACACCTTGACGCCCTTCTCCATCCAGGCGATCCTCAACAAGAAAGAGGAGCGTGGCGGGCTGGCCCCACCGGAGGGGCGCGCGGCGCCCGGGGGCACAGCGGTGGTGGTGGCCGCGGCGCCCGCTGTCTGCTGCTGGCGGCTCTTTGGGGATACGGACGCGGGTGCGCTGGGGGGCGCCGAGGACTCTCTGCTGGCGTCTCCTGCCGGGAGCAGAACAGCTGCGGGGCGGACTGCGGAGAGCCCGGGAGGCTGGGATTCGGACTCCGCGAATTTTAAAATTGCAAAAAATACAATGTGTAAACCAAATCGACATATTCCAAAAAGGAGTAAATCCCAAGGACTCTGAGCCCCACATGCTCATCACCTGAATGTTCTCTTTGATCTCCTTCGCTATGAAACTCTTGGCCAGGGCCACAACCCCACGCTGCAGCTGGTAGCGAAGGGCAATCAGGGCTGGACTTCGCTTGTGCTTTTTGGCCAGGGCACTGATGACTGGGTCTTCCAGGAGAACTGGGTAGCTCTGCTCCACCCTGCAAGGACAGGTAGAAAAGCTGACCTCCTGATGCAGGGCGTTCAGTTTGATAAGAGGCTTTCAGAACAGCCTGGGGGCCCACCCTAGACCAGCACTTCTCAAAGGTGGACCAGTGGTGTTATTAGTATTATCTGAGCTGTTTTACAAATATAGATGATCTCTGTCCTAAATGTGCTGTACATTGTGACTTAATGCTATAACTAGTGCTCAAACAGTATTTTACACTGTGTTTCTGTCTGGGTGCAAACTGTTGAAATCTTTACTTAATATATGCTAAATTGATCTTCTGTACATAAAGATAACTGAAAATGAATCTTGATGTGAATGGAAAGGGAGAGGGAGCAGGAGAGGGGATTGTTGCGGGTGGGAGGGAAGTTTTGGGGGAGAAAAAGCCATTGTAATCCATAAGATGTACTTTGGAAATTTATATTCATTAAATAAAAGTTAAAAATCAAGTTAGATCATCCCCCTCTTTGAGCCAGTTGAGACTAACTATATAAAACTAAGTGTTGTACACCAATAGTATTTCATCAACAGTGGGTTTTATGTCATCTTTTTATTTTCCTTTTACCATTTTGGATCTCGACTTGATCCCAGAGCACCATAGGCAACCAGAACAACATCTATGGACTTGCAAAAATCTAGCAGTTTTCTCTGATTGAGATATGGATGGCATTCCAACTGTGGATAGACAAGTTTGAAAAGTATCAGAGTATATGGGGAAACTTAAAAAGTAAAAGTAGCTGAATTTAGAAATGAAACATGAAAATTTAAACTCAAAATATCATCAAGTGAGGTTTTTAAGTTTACTTTGAAGACTTTATTTTATTTGAAAAACAGAGAGAAACTGAAAGAGAGAGACCAATAGAGAAAGAGAGGGAGAGAAAATAGATTCTTTTATTTATTTATTTATTTTGACAGGCAGAGTGGACAGTGAGAGAGAGAGAGAGACAGAGAGAAAGGTCTTCCTTTGCCGTTGGTTCACCTTCCAATGGCCGCCGTGGCTGGCGCGCTGAGGCCGGCGCAGTGCGCTGATCCGATGGCAGGAGCCAGGTGCTTCTCCTGGTCTCCCATGGGGTGCAGGGCCCAAGCACTTGGGCCATCCTCCACTGCACTCCCTGGCCACAGCAGAGAGCTGGCCTAGAAGAGGGGCAACCGGGACAGAATCCGGCGCCCCGACCAGGACTAGAACCCGGAGTGCCGGCGCCACAAGGCAGAGGATTAGCCTAGTGAGCCATGGCGCTGGCCAGAAAATAGATTCTTAATTGTGCAAATGTCAAGTAAGAAAATAAATAGCATAGTTAAAATGCAAATAACTTTACAAACCCCAAAGTAATAACCAGTTAAGACAAATATCATCCATGAATGCGTATCTATTATATAAAATTTGTTCAGGTATATTACATCTGCTATTGAATATTATTATCAAAAATGACCAATTACCAATTATGACCAAAAGATGCATCACTAAATGTGGGAAAAGTATCTTTCTATGCTGTCTCTTGGAATACAATTTGATGAACACAGAATTCTAAGGACGTCTTCATGACAAAAACATTTAACCTTAATATATAATAAACCATCCAAACCTAACTTCTAACTTACAGAAAGTTGAAGTAGAGAAGCAAATGATTATTACAAGACAACAATCTGATGAATCCAGAACAACTGACAAAACGTGCATAGATATCACAGGAAAAAAGATTTCTGAACTTTGAAGGGGAAAAGCATGAGAAACATGACAGAATTCTATTTGTGAATTACTATTTTGTTGCTCTTAAAAGAGAAGATATCTGAGGCTGTTAGTAGAAAATTATAATACTGAATGATACTAAATGACAAGAAATAAAAATTAAGTACTTTAGATCCAATTATGAAAACTAGAACTATGTGACAGTGTTTTCTGTCATAGGAGATGTTTGAGTTCTATAGGGATGAGCAATCACTAACATATTATATCGAGAGGTTCAGCAAAATATTGCATATTTGTATTAACATAAACTTTGGACATATGAAAAATATAACAATATGAGAACAGGAGAGAAAATATTTTATCAGTACTATCAAAATTTCTGGATGTATGAAAGTTCTCAAAATATAAACTAGAATAAGGTTGGCACTGAAAGCCATAATAATTTGTATAATTTTTCTTGAAAATCAGAGTACTACATTATTACAGAGCAAAGTGATAGATTTTATAAGCTGTATTTTCATGTCAAATATATTTACTTAGTGACTGTATGATGTTAGATACTAAGAACATGGAAAAGCTAAAAATCGATGTTGATGCACAGTTTGATTTGAAGGCAGAAAGCAGAGATTAGATGCAAATGAAAATGAATTCAAAGATGAGATCAGCTTAAGTTTTGCTAAAATTTCCTGAGTGTGATGTGGCTAACAATAGAAAACCATGAAAGGTAAATTTCGCCCTCTTCCCCAGATTATTTTCCTAGTGTCTGATAATCTTTTCCTGATCAAGACACTGAAAAAATAGATACCAAGAACAAAGTTTCAGATGTGTAGATGCAAAACAAGCCCTTGCCACCTCTCTTCTCCTACATTCACTTTATCTTTATTTACTGCCCAGCAGATGTTTTCATGGCCTTCGCTGCTACATTGAGTGACTTCCACATCACATTCAGTTGGATCGATAAATTCAACTTCTTACTAGTTGAAACTTGACTGCTGCTTTCTAGATCACCTTTACCTCCACAGATTCTTACAAATATTTGAACACTAGAGTCTCCTCACCTTTTCAATAAGGCATCATCACATACAGAGACAAGAGAGGGCCCTACTTGCCCCTCCACAGAGACAGGGGTTCTGTGTTGAGAATCTTCTCCTCCAAAGCATACTTTGAATGAGAATGGAAGACGAGTGGACTCTTGTCAGTGGTACAGGGAGAAGGGACTGAAAAGCAGAAGGAGAGGAGGCTGAGAGTCCTCACCTGGCTGCAGACAGGCTTGTACTTGAGCCCTGGCTTGTTCAGAATCATCTCCGACTGCCTGTGGTTGAAGTTGGACACCCCGATGGACTTGGCCAGTCCTGCATCCCTGCACTTTTCCATGGCCTGGGAGAAAAGATTATGAAGAAAGTTTTTCCACAAATGGCTAGAATAATGTAACAGATGATAGCACCATTAGAAAGAGATGATAATGAAGCTAATGGTCATTGACTGAAAGAGAAAAAAAATATAGAACAGAGAAGGAGATGGTGACATTGAGAAATCACAGTGTCCTCCATAGGAATCCAGAGAAATATGTGAATCAAAAAAATGAGCCTGTTCTTTTTGCCCCTAATTATTGTCCATTTCTTTCTGTGACCCCACTCCAGCACAGTACCATTAACAATGGCATGAATTTCCACAATTAAGAATCCATAACCCTTTCTTTTCAGTTTAATTGTGATCTGATGCCTCCTCTTCCTGCTTTCTTTGTACTCACTCCTCCAAATAAATACTCACCTCCCAAGTGGCACAGAGATCCACTATGTCATGTGTTATTTTTCCTTGTTCATCTTTTGGGTATAGCTCCTTCCCAGGCTAGAATAAAAAGAGTAATTTTACACTATATTACCAGATTGAGAAACGCACGCCCTAGCAACAAACCCAGATGTACTTAGGTTGGGAAAACAAACTTCAGTGAAAAATGTGGAGCAATACTCCACAGTCATATAACTGCAACGTGTATTGTATATGAAGTGGTAAAGAATATCATTATGCTACAGACGTCTCTTCTCATATCTATTACATGCCTATTAATGAATACTATTTTCTAGGTCCTAGTGGTGTCCATGGATTTATATTACTTTGTGTGCTCTGTTCTTTCATTTATAGAAATATCTCTGTTTCACTGTGAAAATCAGTGGCTACATGACCTTGATCTCCACCAATAACAGATTTTCGACTTTACCCAGGCGGCACGATCAGTGTTCCTCAACTCTTGAGAACATGTGTTTCAAACAGAATGCACTTGTACCACAGAACATGGATCACGGTTCTGTTACAAAAAATTGTAACTAGAATGTGGATCAGCTCTCAAATAATGGCCATGAGTTTAGAATTCTTCAGAGCCATATATGCCACCAGGAAAAGGCTCAGACAAAAACTCATTAATCCAGTGGCAGTGTTGTCGAAAACCACAGATAGAAAAGTTTTCCAAAGATTACTTAAAATCTCTGCCTTACTCATGAGTTGGGATCCCCGTTTACAGACTCCAGTAGGCAATATGCTTAAGCCATTTAGACCAGTTTCTCCAACTTACCTACAACAAGTGTCTGAAAATTTATCAGTATCATTTACTCATCCATGAAGATGATGGTCACACTGACAGCTAACGTGTAACAAATTAGATGTTGTTAACCTCCTACCTTCATAGCTACTGGGAAATGCGTAAGGTAGAGATCAACATAGTCCAGTTGAAGTTTTTTCAGTGATTGCTCCAAGCCGATTCGAACCAGCTCTGGTCGAAAGAAAGTGCACCAAAGCTGCAGGGGTTAAACAGTGGAAGTTTTAAAGAATGAATATATTAGCCAAATCTCATGGTTTCTTTCATCTAATGTTGAGAATTTTTTTTCTAGCTAATACTAAGCAATGCAGAAGGAAAATGATCCCTTCCTTTTGGATTTCATGTGCCCTGAGATGACATCAGACCCTCTACATTGGTTTAGATATTATTCATAAACACACCAATTCATGGTGGATATCACACCAGAGACAGATATGCCATCGATTAATAGTAATGGCCATTGTTTTGATTATGTTTGATGGAGTTTACAAATCAAAGAGGTAATGAGACTGAGAAAGACACAAAAAGAAATATTATAAATGAAGGAACTGAACAAGTGAAAAATTCAGTGAGGGGGCCAGTATTGAGGTGTAGCAGCTAAAGCCACTGCCTGCGACGCCTGCATCATGGCTCCTGGTTTTGGAACATCCCTCCCCCCCCACCATTGTGGCCACTGGGGAGTGAACCAGTGGATGGAGGACCTCTCTCTCTCTCTGTCCTCTCTCTCTCTCTTTCTCCTCTCTCTTGGTCTATTCCACCCTCTTCTGTAACTCTGCCTTTCAAATACATAAATATCTTTTTTAAAAAAATGGAAAGCCTTAACAACAGACTAGAAAAGCAGAATAAAGAATATATGATATTAATGAGCAGTCTTTTGAAGTATCACAGGCAAAAATATAAAAAACAGAAAATTTTAATGAAAAAAAGTCAAGTATCCCTTGAATACCATTATATGAGTCTTTGCTAAAAAACCTAGTCAATAAAATCCCAGCAGAGCCCCACCCTCCCATTTGTAGGAAGTTATGAACATCCAAATACATGAAACTCATAGAATTTCACTCAGGCATGATGAGAGAACATCCTCACCGAGACACGTTTTACTTAAACTTTGAGAAGGGAAACATAAAGAAAGTGTCCTAAGATTTTCAGGAGAAAAACACAAGGTCATGTTTAAAGGTCATCCCTGAGATTCACAGATTTCTCAGCAAAAGTATTAAAGGCCAGGAAACAATGAGGAGATAGAGTTTAAATTCTGATGAAATGAAAAACTGCCAATCCACAATATTTTACCTAGAGAAGCTTTTGTTTGTTAGTGAAGATAAAATAAAGACCTTCTTAATCACAAAAAAATTCATCACTACCCAGCTAACATTAGAAAAGATTTCTTAAGTATGTGTTAAGTATACACTGAAATAAGTCTTTCAGTATTGCCCTCTCAATCTGTCATTCTACATTTCAAACTAATTTTTTAAGTTCTCTAAAAAAATTATTTTGAAAACACAAAAGACCCTGGCCAGAGGTATCACAATTCCATATTTAAAAACATATTACAAGGCTTTTATAACCAAAACAAAGGTAGACAAGTAGACCACTGGAACAGAATAGAATCCTCAGTTCCAAAACCACAAATCTATAATCAAATCAACTTTTTAAAAAAATTTTTTTTATTTTTTGACAGGCAGAGTGGACAGTGAGAGAGAGACAGAGAGAAAGGTCTTCCTTTTGCCGTTGGTTCACCCTCCAATGGCCGCCACGGCCGGCGTGCTGCGGCCGGCACACCACACTGATCCGATGGCAGGAGCCAGGAGCCAGGTGCTTTTCCTGGTCTCCCATGGGGTGCAGGGCCCAAGCACTTGGGCCATCCTCCACTGCACTCCCTGGCCCCAGCAGAGAGCTGGCCTGGAAGAGGGGCAACCGGGACAGAATCCGGCACCCCAACCGAGACTAGAACCCGGTGTGCCGGCGCTGCAAGGCGGAGGATTAGCCTAGTGAGCCGCGGCACTGGCCAGAATCAAATCAACTTGAACAAGCATCATAAAAAGTATTCTGTGAAGAAAGAACAGTCTATTCAACAAATGGTGTTGAGAAAATTAGATTTCCACAGGTAGATACTTGAAGCAAGACATTTACCTTACTTACAGACAAAAGAAAAATAATCTAGGGGCCAGTACTGTGGCATAGCAGGTAAAGCCACCTCCTGCAGTGCCAGCATCCCATATGGGAACCAGTTCAAGTCCTGGCTGCTCCACTTCTGATCCTGCTCACTGCTAATGTCCCTGGGGAAGCAGCAGGAAGACTTTACCCATGTGGGAGACTTGGAAGAAGCTCCAGGTTCCTGGCTTCAGACTGAATCAGCTCTGGCCATTGTGGGCATTTGGGGAGTGACCAAGCAGATGGAAGACCTCTCTCTCTTTCTTTCACTACCTCTGCCTTTGCCTCTCTGTAACTCTGTCTTTCTAATAAATAAAAATGAATTTTTTTAAAAAAAGAAAAATAATCTCAAAATGTGTAATATCTAAATTTAAGATCTGAAATGATCAAGCTAGTAAAGGAAAACAGAGAAAACACTGCAAGAAATTGTCCCAGGCGAAGATCATTTAGTAAGAATCCCACAGCACAGGGAATAAAAGCAAAAATAGAGAAATGAGATTTTATCAAGCTAAGAAGCTTCTGCATAGCCAAGAAGCAAGTGAAGAGTAAATCAAAAGAATGGGAGAAAATATTTCCAAATTATCTATCTGATAAAAATTTAATATCCAAACTGTATAAGGAAAACAATAAACTCAACAACAATAAGACAAACAGTTCTGTTACGAAATATGCAAAGGACATGAATAGATATTTTGCAAAGGAGTAAAAGAAATGGCCAACAGACAAATGAAAAAGTATTCACCATCACTAGCTATCAAGAAAATGGAAATAAAAAACTGCAACTAGGTAGCATCCCACTACAATTAGAATGACTATTATTAAATTAAAAATAATAATAAATGATAGAAAAATTGTGCTAAAAGGATGTCCTCATACATAAAAATGAAATTAATACAACTATTACGGAAAATGGTCTGGATATTCTGCAAAAAACTAAAATGGATCCACCATGTGAGTCAGATATCACTCTTCTGGGAATATATCTCAGGGAAGTGAAATCAACATATGAAAAATATATCTGCTTCATGTGTTTGTAACAGTCCAATTCACAAGAGCCAAAAAAAGGAAGAGCAACACAAATGTCCCTCAACTACTCAAGGGTGGATAAACAAAATGTGTTTTATATAAATGATAAACATTACTTAGCCACAAAAATGATTTAAATCCTGTTATTTGCAAAAAAATTGATGAAATTGAGTCTCATTACATGTAGAAAAATAAACCCAACACAGAAAGACATCTGTGGGTGGTTAATGTATAGATGGAGATATGAAACGTGTATGCATGTCATATTTCATGGCATCACTGAATTTTACCATCTATATGACAATATACCCTGATCTCTTCAATATATGATCATTGATATGAATCACACATTTTGTGATATTTATCTTCATGTTTTCAAAAAAACAGTCAATATGCATATATCTGTATATGTGGGAATATGCCAAAACATTAAAAATTAATAAACTTAAGAGAAAATAAATAGAAATATAATTAAAAAAGAAAATGTGTGGTTTAAGTATGGAAATAAGAACAGCTTGTAGATCCCTAGAGACTGAATCATATAATTGTAGTTGGCACTGTGACATAGTGGGTAAAGCCACTGCCTGCAGTGCTGGCATCCTAAATGGGAGCCATTTTGAAACTTGGCTGCTCCACTTCTGATCCAGCTCTCTGCTGTGGCCTGGGAAAACAGTAGAAGGTGGCCCAAGTCCTTGGGCCCCTGCACTTGTGTGGGAGACCAGAAAAAGCTCCTGACTCCTGGTTTTGGATCGGCCCAGTTCTGGCTGTTGTGGCCATTTGGGGAGTGAACCAGTGAAGTAGAAAACTTCTCTCTCTGCCTCTGCCTCTCTGTAACTCTGCCTTCAAATAAATAAATAAGTATTTAAATACTATAATTATCATTGGCACAGATCACATTTCATTAATTAATACATTGACACATCCAATATCCAATACCTTTGAAGTGTAGAATACATCTTCTCTCTTCACAGTGCCATCTGCAATCTTGCTTCGGATGGCAAGGCTTACTTCCTCTTCATTTGGTATGCATGAGAAGAATCAATATGGTGGTAACCAACATCTATGGCTATTTTGGTGGCCTCTCCAGCCTCACTCTTAGGAACCTAGAAAATAGCCAGAAGTATTATTTGAAGATCCATGTGATTAGAATTAATTCAGGCATCATCAGTGACTTTCACAGGAATCCTTTTTTATTTTCATGTATGAGAATAAGTCTGAGTTTTTGGGAAATAAATGAATCTCAATTTTCCTGGATCTTCACTAATTATTAGCAAGAGGCAGCTCAGAAACCTCCCAACACTGTGCCACCTTCTTAATCACTGGCAACAACGTTCCCAGAAACTATGCCAGTTTTACTGATTTGATGGAAGGATCCAAGGATGCGACAAAAAAGTTAATACCATGGTTGTTATTTATGTAGTGAATATACAAAGTAGAGTTACCACAGGGGAAAATTAAGTGGAATAAAATATGGAAAAATACAGTGCAAGCTTCTATACATTCCCTCCAGTGAAAAAAACAAACACATTCAATCCTGGGAAAATTGAATTTGACAGCCTTTAAAAATTATCTGTAGATAAAGCTATTTATTTAGTCTCCATTTATAAGGTTTTTCATTGAGGTTGGGTTGCATAAATCCCCTCTTGTGGCCCACACACTTACTCCACTTCCTTAGCAAAAAGCAGGGGCACATACACACCATTGTCTACACAGGCATCTACAGAGGCAGTGTAGCTACAGTCACCATCCAAATTAGAGAATGGGGAGTATGCAATTTCACAGATGCAAATCAGGGGAAAGATTGAAAATAGGCAGTCAGTTGAATGGACAGCAGGATGTTATGTTAATTCTTCTCTATAGAGCATTCTGTCTATCCCCCCCACCCGACCCCCAAAATAACAAAATAAATACTAAGAGTAAAAATGTATACCAAAGGCCTACTTTGTGGTATAGTAGGTAAAGTCTGCAATGCTAGCATCCCATACAAGCATTGGTTTGAGTTTCAGCTGCTGCACTTCTGATCCAGGTCCTTTCTAATCTGTCTGGGAAACGAGTAGAAAGTGGCCCAGGTGCTGGGGTTTCAAAACCAACATGGGAAACTCAGATAAAGATACTGGTGCCAGGTTTTGACTTGACCCAGCCCAGGCTGCTGCAGCCATTTGAAAAGTTTGCCAAGGGATAAATGATCTTTCTCTTTCTGCCTGTGCTTGTCTTCCTGTAACTCTACCTTTCAGATAAATCAATTTTAAAAAAGTATACTAATGGGGTATATATATATATATATACACACACACACACACACATATATATACACACATATATATTTTTCACATTAGAAAATGACTATCATATAAGAGGTTTTTAATTTTATTGTAATCCCTTACAAACAGGCTATTTCTTAAACGGAACATATAAGTAGAGCAAAATTTAAAATTATTAGCTTTCCAAAATTGGACAAAGATTTGAAAGTATTTGTTATAGGACAAACAGGTAAATGAAATGAACTCTTTTCCATTTACTTGAAGAAACTGAGAGACTGGCATGACTCAAGTAATAACAATGAAGCAGATACTAGATCCTGCTGCCCTGCACTGATACCAACCCTCTACTGACCCTATGTTTGAGGGAACTGAGAAATTTACAAGGGCTAAAACTTTACCTAGTATCCTTGATTGTTCCCTCTCCTTCATGCTACCTCATGCTGAAAAAATAACTAAGTCTTGGCATGTATCTTCAAAATATTTTTTATTAATTTCCCTAGATCTCATACAGTATAAGCTAAAAATGTAAATTTGGGGTAAACAATCCCATATCATACGATTGCATAATCAGAGGATGATAACAGTGTGCGAAATTCTCTCAATGGTGCTCATTTTTTTAATAGCACCATATACCATATCAGATTCCTGTGTTTTTTAGCATAAATGAATAATTTAGTCTTGTTCTTAATAGAGTCTCCTTTTTGCCTAACATATTTTTTTTACATTCAGGCACATTTCTCAGAAGTGAGAGTAGTATAAGGGAAAGTCTACCCAAATCTAGTAATTAATCTACAGTGCTTAGGATTAACCCCTGAGCAGAAAATCTCTGCTCCCTTTTTATATTCTATGCATTTTCTCTAGAGTGACAAAATTTTCCTGCACCATTCCTTGTAGGAAGGAGGAAATAATTCTTCAATTAAGAAAACAACAGAGAATCAGTGGCAACTGCAAACACCAGGCAAGAAGTCTTGCTGAGGATGGACATTTTTCTCTTTACCCAAGTAAATAGATTGAAGCAGAAAGCAAAACAACTACCCAGCATCCTCAGCAGGGGGCCACAGGATCTGTCAGGAAGAGTGAAGTGTGTGACTAAGTGCAGTATTCTGCATGAAACAGCTGTAGCCTGGGGAACTGGAGAACCAACGAAACTTGTAGTCACGCAGAAATTGGCTGCCTTCCCACCACCTAAGTCTATTTTCTTCTGTCCCCTCAAGCACAAAGCAACTGAGATTACCGATCGGGTGCATAGGTGCCAAGTCCCAGTACAGGAATGGCGTGAGCATCGTTTAATGCCGCTCGCTGATGTTTAGGATCCATTGCTGCCACTCTGCTCCTTAAGCACACTCTGCTTATTTCTGCTGCCTTTGAAGGAATAACAGGAAGTCAGCACTCCAGCTGCCTGGATAAAGATCTATGACTTGTGGGAGGAGTGAATTTAAAGCAGTATAACAAATTTAAGCAGAGAGTTCAGAAACAGTTCACAATTTATTTGAAAGAAAGTTTTAAATTCTGATAAAGAAACCATTAGACCTATAATTTGTTTTCCTTTTCAGTCTCTCACAGTTGTACAAAACCTACAAGACTGCTCAAGCAACTATTGACTCGATTAGACAGTAAATCATGTGATATCTATTCTCTGGCAGCTTTGTTTATTTTTGTCATGAGGAAATCCTTTCTAATCACACATTGTTTGAAACAATTAGCTGTCTTACTCTACACACATAAACACTCATACAGAGAATTAAGAAATGATTTTTGAGAAATTTTTCAGCATTCATCCTCCATGAATGAACAGAAGTTAAAACTAAAGAGGTACAAACAAGGTGATAGCTGAGTAGAAAGCTCCAGTGACTGTCCCCCATAGACACCAATTTCAACAGATAGTCACACAATAACCCACTTTCCCACGAGCTAAGGAAGCCAGTGACATAGTGAAGAAACAGCACAGAAACTCCATAATTCAGCAGAGGAAGAGTGCAGATTCACTGCCAACGTGTTGTCACAAGCGGGTGCAGCCTCTACCTTGGCTGCTTCAGGCTGGTGAGGCCATTTTGATGGGAAAATTTAAAAAGTAAGAAGGCACTTCTATCCCAAGCAGCAAACAGGACAGTGGACCCTGGTTGCAAAGAATTCTGCGGTCATAACTTACTATAATAAATCCAATTGAGAAAGTCATTCCTGCAGTCTACCAGGGCCAAGTAAGCCTCGTGGGTACAACTGGGCCCAACATGGCAATGGTTACCACAGAGCCATTGCAATACCAACCTCTGCACTTCAGCGAGCAGTGGGTGCAGGGCATCTTGGGTAGTCAGCCTTTAGCAATCTGAATATTAGAAGAAGTGCTCCATCATAATTGGGGACCATATTCTTGCCAATAGCTTTCCCTCCCCCAGCAAAATGAAAAATTGCAAGTTGTGCTGGGTACACATGCACCTGCCCAGTCTGAATAGACACTTGGAGCTCCCTGCACACAGGGGACTGATCTTACAGTGAGGACAGAGGGTGCAATACGCAGTGATTCAGTGCTCTGGCTAGTGTTCACATCTGGATGGGACAAGGGACTCAACAAACCAGTAAGCTCCAACATCCCCTCCCTCAACTGACAATGGCCAGAGGTGCTCCACCACTTCCTTATTCAGGTAGACCTCTGGACTATGGAATGTTCCACCCATGGCGTTAGTTAGATTTGCCTGGCTGCACCCACTCACACTTCCCAGAGTCTCTCAATGGAGCTTTTTGTGCTGAGCTTAAACAGCACAGACAGTAGCCCACAATACCAGCAAGGCCTGGTCCTAATGCTTGAGTATCAACCCTTCCCTCAAGCGAAGGATAGAGACCTGCATAACAGGAATCTCAGTAATGACAATGAATCGCTTCTCAGGCTTTTGGCTAAGATCAAGTGAAGTATCTGTTCTTATCAGTAAGGACAATGAGCCACATGAAGATCCCAGATTCCAACTACAGCTACCATCTATGTAGCCTGTATGTGTTACATTGAATGTTTCTAGGCAAAAATAAATAAATAACTATTAACAAAATTTGATGATGGCAGAAAAGTAGACAATTGTAACAGAATAGATTACCCAAAAAATCAATTCACCCATCAACAACCATTTTTGAAAATGAGCTCAAATATTTCCTAGGGAAAGGACAGTCTCTTCAATGAATGGTGTTGGAAAAAATGGATTTCCACGTTTAAAAGTTTGAAAGAAAACCCCTACCTTACACCCTATACAAAACTCAACTCAGGGATCTAAATTTAAGATCTAAAGCCATCAAATTACTTGAGAAAAACTTAGGGGGAAACTCTGTAACACTGGCCTAGACTGGCCGGCCCCGTGGCTCACTAGGCTAATCCGCCTTGGGGTGCCAGCACACCGGGTTCTAGTCCCGGTTGGGGTGCCGGATTCTGTCCCGGTTGCCCCTCTTCCAGGCCAGCTCTCTGCTGTGGCCCGGGAAGGCAGTGGAGGATGGCCCAAGTGCTTGGGCCCTGCACTCCATGGGAGACCAGGGTAAGTACCTGGCTCCTGCCATTGGATCAGCGCGGTGCGCCGGCCGCAGCGCGCCATCTGCGGCGGCCATTGGAGGGTGAACCAATGGCAAAGGAAGACCTTTCTCTCTGTCTCTCTCTCTCACTGTCCACTCTGCCTGTCAAAAAAAAAAAAAAAAAAAAAAAGACTAAAACTTCTAGCATAAGATCCCAGAAGCACAGCTTCACTAAATCATGCCATGCAAATGACAGTACACTCTTGTTCCCTCACATTTTGATTTTTGCCATGAATTCCTAATAGTACAATGTGGATATCTGTTTCAAAGAAAAAATATTGATATATGTATGCAAA